CCACAAGTTATCAAGTTGACCTTTTTGATTATGATTAAATTGTAATTATCGAACTCATGATGTTAAAGTTAGTTGGCTTATCCTCTGTGCGCAAAAATCATAGATGTGGCGATTAATCTGCCTGATTTACCTCACTTTTGCCATCCACGAGAGAACCATGATTTGATCCGACTCTACAGTTATCCAGGGTCGAATTACAACTCCAAAACCCATCGATTTTTATATTGACTAGACGGCAGACATGTTTCAGCGCGCTGGATAGAAAAATTAGTAACTCATGTGAATCCAATTAAGGGATTGGTGTGAGAAACTAATTGACTCTGTTTCAAGAATGTTCTGCAAATTGATGATCAGAGTTGAGTTGATAATACTCCCAACTTACATGTGGAGTAAAAGCATTTTCGGAGCAATGTGGATAATCGATCTGCGGATAACCTTTGTCCGATGAAATGAACCCAAACGACGATTTCCGTAAATAGATACGATTGAGAAACTTTGACGCGAACGGAAAACGCAGAAAGAGTCTGAGAGTATGAATGAACTGGTCAACGAAGCGTTCCGAGCTGATTCGATTAAAACTTGGCCGCAATAATGTTACCAGATCTAATAGGTCATACCTAAAAACGTGCCAAGTAAAACAAGTAGTATCCGAGTCGAAATAGGAAAAGTTAGGTATGACCGGTCAATGATCTAAGAGTGACATAAAAAGTATCTTTGAGTAAATCGAAGAGAACCGAATACTAGTAACTATTCTCCAGCCAAGCTTTGTTTGAATAAATCCGAGAGTATGTGGTATATCCAAACTAACACAACTTCCAAGACAAGCAAATCTTGTGGATCAGTTTCTTTGGTCACAGAGCGGTAGCCCCTAAACTAATATGAATAATGCTTCTATTGAAGACAACAGCTTCGGAATCGGATAAAGTACCAATATTGTTCATGATGAGTACATGCCAACCGTGTGACCTATTTCCAGAATGTGATCGCAATCAATCGATTGAGCAGGACCTAATGTTATTGCACGCGTAAGTATTTTGGATGAGCTCCAGCACTCGTTCAGATGAGAATCGATCTACTCTGTCAATTTATCAGATATAGCAGTTGCAGGTGAACTAGAAAACTGAAACTGGAGAGCGACATGCGAGACTTTGAGACCAGTTTGGTTGTTAAAGATATGTTTAAACTCATTCCCTTGGTCGTCTGTAATGCACTTAGCTCGGTAGCACGACGGTCTTTGTTGTTGAGAGCTGAGTTCGAGTTGGGATATATTCAATCAAATAGATGATTTTGAACAGGTCAGTCAGTAGATGAACACTGAGAGGGAAATTCCTTTCTTATACTCTCAACGGTCGCGTACGTATAAACTGAACAAAATAGATAAATGAAGTGAATCAGGAAACCCGGTTAGGTTCAATCGTGTGTATGTGTATGTGCATTTGTATTTGTATAACTTTTGCAAGCTGAGATATGCTTACATTTCAGTCAGAAATTGTACACTGGTCGTCACACCGGAGAAAATATATATATATATATATATTCAAATAAAGATTGATGCAATTCATTTATAACTCGTTCCTTGTTGCTCAAGATGCGAGCCAGATACGGTATAGTGGAACGAGTGATCGAGTGGGAGTAACAAGAAGAAAAGTTAAAATGCAAACCATGGGAGGGGTCGTTCAGAATCTTATTGGTAAGGGTCATACAAGACTTCATATGACCACTAAGAAACTGTGTGATTAATGACTCGGCAGAACTAAAGATGCACGGTTCATTATCATTAATCCACGACGGACAGCTTTAAAGTCTTGTTTCAATAGATCGGGAAACACTACACGGGAGCAGTAAAGTAAAATAGGGAGACCGCATTGTCTAACAAGAGAAGAGATCAAAACTTGTTGGGGAGTGCGAATTTGTCTGAGATTTCGGAGCTGAAAGGAGAGATGCCGAAGTTTCCTCATACAGTTGAGTGTGTCGACCGCCGAAGATTATTATCGATAGTAACGCCCAGATATTTGGTTGAGGTCACTCTAGACAAAATGTTACTATGAAGGCTTACAAAGTCTGACGGGAATGTAGAGCGAGAACTAAAAATGCACTCCAAGCACTTGGATGTGTTGAGATTAAGGCTAGACTGGTTTGAAAACTGTTCGATTCGGGACAGATCTTCAGTGAAGGAAGAAAATTCTGAAGAGGAAGAAACGGTTTGACATAAAGCGACATCGTCAGTATACTTGTGGATATGACCAGGGTGTGTGATGCACACGATCGGTTACGACCCGAGAAGGCTAAGGGTTAAGTTTATACGATTTTGAGCACATTTGTTGTGAAAAATCGATAATGCCTCGAGTATCCTTAGTCGGTATTTGTTGCAAAGACGTAAAAAAAATCGAGAACGCGTTCGCAAGATCTACCTTGTGACCGCTTTCAACCAAGCGACTAGGGATACTCGAAGCATTATTGATCGTTCATAACAAACCGTTTGTCGAGAAGCATATGAGCTTTACCCTGCTTGTAACCAATCATGCGCATCACACAGATACACAAGATTTCCTAACTCACTTCATTCGTCTATCCTGATCAGTGCCACCAGTAGTGCATAACCACCGTCCCGTCGTGTGCACTACCACTGTGCCCACCGGATCATAACAGGGGTGAACCGAATTGCCAAATCATGTTTGCTCAAGTGTCGTCTTCAGTGGTAATCAGTCAGTTGATTTAAACTGGACAGCAACGAAGAGCCTCCCAAAGCCTCAGTATGGTCGCGGTGGATTTCTAGGGTTGCGGATGGTCACTTTTCATTTGCTCCCTCAAATTACTCTCTCAAATAACCTCTGCTGAGGAAGCCCTACTCGCTGCCTTTTCGTGGCGGAGGTATTTTCGCACCAAAGTGAGAGGACGAAAAGCTGACATTCGGGGATATGACTGGTTTGGTAGACCACTGTTTGTTCATCCAGGGGAGTTGGTCAAAAACCCTGATCCCAAACCATGAGGAGGCGTACGAACCACATCCACACCTTTTTGGTTGTGGCAGTGGTCACTGGCTCGATTGGGCACCTTGGACATTTGATTCCGTTCGAAGGGCGAATGATCCGACGAAACGGTTTGACATAAAGCGACATCGTCGGCATACTTGTGGATATGACCAGGGTGTGTGATGCACACGATAGGTTACGACCCGAGAAGGCTAAGGGTTAAGTTTATACGATTTTGAGCACGTTCGTTGTGGTGGCCCGGTGGTAACGTCACCAATTATCACCCCGGAGGGCGAGTGTTCGAATCCCACCACCACCGCCTGACTCTCCCCATTCGTGTTGTATGGCAGCCCTCTGATTGGCCGCTTCCCCCTTCCTGAAAATTGTATCTTTGTATATTCAATAAAGGGAAGTAAAATGAAAAAGAATTGAACACCGGCTCCCAATGAGCTGCGGTTTTCACACACCGCCCAACTACCTTACGGAACAGGTTTTGGCTAACCGAAGGCTCCGGCTGTGAATTCCTCAAGAAAATTCACCTACCTTGGTCTGGGCAGCCTGGCAGTATTCAGCCCACAAGCTAATCATGGAATATTTTGCCTTTCTATAAAGAATTTTGTATCATGATTTGCCTGGCACACAATCTGTCCTCAGACAAGTGTTACATATATATATATATATATATATATATATATATTGAAGGGAGACAGGTGACCGCTTGTCACATCCATCACAAGCTTCCTATCAAATCAGGACATCGGTGCAGCTACGGGCTGACTGGCTGTAGGTTGCCTGACCGGTGACATTCGACAACTTCATTCTGAGTGGTCGGGATGTCTCCATCCGCCCTGGGGCCTGTTCAGTCAATGTCAAAGTTGTTCACTTCACCCTAGTTAGGTGGCCTAGCACACACAAGTGAACAAATAGAGGTGTGACTTGGCATGAACTGGCAATGGCTGTTCGACCGGTATCTGCAATCAGGTGCAGAGCAGAACCAACTCAACGCCACTGAAAACCTGTTTAACGCTCCAGATGAGGCGTCGTAGGAGGACCCCCGCGGACAGCGTCACATTTGAATGGCACGCACCCAGGGTAAACAACTCATCAAGCAGCCCCAATTTTGGGCATGTATGTTGTCCGTTGTACAACGCTTTCAAGCTCGTTCTCATTTGAATTCCTTCGCAATCGTGGTCTCCCTCGATCTCATCAGTCAACGGCTGTCTTGATCAATCATCCACCCCTACAGGGATACACAAAAGACAGTGGTGCAATCGTTTAGTCGCTATCACTCGCGTTCTATAGACCGTATGGTCCGAACCACGTCACCGCCATCCGATTTTGGTGATAGACTGATTTGCTGTGATTCGATCCCACACTACGCCCAACCTAGGACAGTTACGTGGTTCGCCACTGCTTTGGGGCTTAGGTTGCCTGTTACCACCACTGAACGGCAGATCTTCATGCGATGCACCTTATCTGCTATTCATCATACAAATGTAATGAAAGGACGGCTGCACACAAAGTTATCGGCTACTCAAACTTAACGCGACGTGAATCGAAGTACATCGCAGCGGGACGGCGTTAGTCTACAACGAAACTAGGGAAATTTCACAAGTCCCAGGAAGCACAGGATTAACCATGGCAGTTGGTCTAAAAGGGATCTAACATCCGTAAGCGACAATGTAACAGGACCGAGGAGGCTCCAGTTAAATACACCTTGCAACCATTCCCGTTATGAACTGCAAATACCATCACTAATTGCCGCTTTTTCCAGTCCGTCTGAGTGGAAAGCAAGATCTTATCGAAATCCAAAGGGGTGTCCAAGATGTAAATGCAAAACCTCATTGAAAGGTTTCGGTATAAACAGTATCTTAAGTGAAGAACGATGCTAGTCTGTCCCAACTTATGAAGTCAGTCGCAAGGAAAAATAACTGAATGAAGTAAAAGGTCTCGTTTATTAAAAGTTTCGATCCAATTAATTACATCAGGCAAAATGGAATTAACAACGAACAGCAACGGGATCTTTCTCTAAGACGGTGGAGCATCTCCCCCACCGAAATGAGCAGACCAACCATTCAGAGGCCATTTAATGAATCGATTTGATTCCAGGTATGCCTTGATATTTGGAAGAGCCTGGAATGAAAATATGGTGGGGAGAGAGAATAAAAATAAGTTTGACAGAGTGCCTCAAATGTGATTCAGGGCAAGGAGTTTTGTATAAGGACTTTCTGGTTAACATTACCTCAATGCGACTCATGAATTGCGCTAAATTCGTGAATTTGTCAAGACAATTCGGTTGCAGATATTTAATCACATCCAGTGCTTCATAGACCATGAAGTCCACGTGGGTGACCTGG